AAAAGAGTCTCCAGTAATCATAAAGTAGATAGTTATAGAACAGGAAATATCACCACAATCCTCCAGATGAATGTTATTTATTTCTCACATCAAATATTTTTCTAAACTTGTAGGGGTCTGGTATATTCCATTCAACAGTAGATGGTACCCTCAGCTTAGGTTTCAGTGTTGTTTCAAGTCTTATAGGTTTGATTAATTCAAATGTAGTTCAATTTATGGAAACAAAGTCAGCTATTCAAGTAGATTCAAGTAGATAGTTCCAGCATTTTATAATGCCTTTCCAAAACAATGACTGCCCAATTTAAGAATCCAATTTTCTATGTTTTAAAAGGTCTTTACCTTTTCTCCCCTTAGTTCCTTTCTTTCGGGTCTAGGATTTTTCTATGATTGTTTGCCGCTTTGAGAAATAGTTCTAAGAGTCTCTTTTCCTGGATTTTCTTCTTTCTTTTTTTCTTTAGTTAGAGTCTAAATAAAAAGGAATCTTCTCAACCAGCTCCAATTACTCTTCATCTACACTGCTCCTGCACAATTCTTTGTTGCCTTGGCTGTCCCAGCTTCATGGCAGCCATGATGGCTGCCTCTTCTCATCGAGGGAAAGGAAAGAAGTCCTAAGTCTGGCAGGAGAGTTGCTGGTCTCCCCGAACTGCAGGGCACCCCTCTTTTCTTCACCACCCCTACTGGGTGGCTTTAGTTCCTTTCAGAGCCCTCCAAAAGGGACAACTCGGCATGGGAGCACGTAGACCCACTTGTCACATCTGATAGCACCGCAACATCAGCCAGAAGTCGTCAGTTGGTTTTTTGTAGTTGTCCCACTGCCTTCTATATTGGTGTTTCTCCCCCCCCAAAAAAAAAACTTAGGTGGATGCGATTTAACCAAACTAAGAAAAGTATTAAAGAGAGGGCGCATGGCTTATAAAATCAACTAGGGTGAGACTGGCTCCACAATTATTAATATCTTGCATTTCCCCAACCTGAAAGAAATTGTAGTAAGAATTTCATTGAATAAATCTCTTTCTTTGGGAGATCTACAAAATTATAGGCCAGTGTCAAATATTCTATTTGAGGATTGAAATAGTGATGGCCTTTCAGATACATTTGAATTTCATTTACATTCTGGATCAATTTTAATTAGTCTTTCAGCTGAGATATTTCAGAGTCTGTCAGCTGAGATAGCTCAAAATTGCCTTGAACCACCAGATTGGCAGCAAATAAATATGATAAAATAAAATAAACATATGATACTGAAACTGCTCTCATATGCTCCAGAGATCATCTACAGCTTTGAATGGGATTAAGCCCAATTATGCTGCATTACTTATCATCTCATCCCAAACAGCATGCTTGAGTATTGACTAAATTGGCTACTGTATATGAGGGAAAAATTAAACTGGAATGAAATCCAACCAAGTTAAAAGTGATGCTAATAAATAGAACTCCTTCAAATATAGCTACCATGTTCAACATATTGTACAGGTGGCAGCTGTAGTAAGGGACACTTTGAGCATCAGGTAAGATCTTTCATGAACCAGTTGGATTTGGCAGGTTACCTATGCTTTATGGCATCCTGTCTTGAGGAGTGAAATGTGCTTTATATGGTGCTATGCAGGATAAATGTCTGAAAGTTGGTGCAAAATGAGGCAGTTTTGCCATTGGTTGGTGCAGAGTATGGAGTTTTCAAATGAGTCCTACACTTAAAACAGCTGCACCAATAGCCAGCTTTAGATATTGGTATTAACCTTAAAGCCCTAAATGGTCTAAAGCCTGTCTAAGGAAAAGCTCCTTCCTTTATCAGTTTAGAGCTGTAGGAGTGGGTCTTATGAGGATACACCCCTTGTTAGAAGCGTCAGTTTCTGGACATATGGCAGAGGAGTTTCTCTTGTGTTCCCATCAGGCTATGAAATACATTCATTTAGAGTTGTGTTTGTCTTTCTGGGTGTGTATGTTTTAAATCTATGAATTTTAAATCTTCTTTAATAGGCTTTAATATTTTAGCATTTGTCTTGACAACTTTAATTTGCATTTTTTTTACTTTTTTGTTTTTATTCTATGTTTCAGATCTTGTTAATTGCCTTGAGTGCTTAGAATACACAAATAAGGAAACATTTTCAAAATTAGTTGTTGAGGTTTCAATGGTGTAAACATATTAAGAGAATAGAGATAAAATTTCACCTATATGAAAGTGTTCCTTGGATACTATGAAACACATTTTGAACCCCAAAATCTAAGATAGAACAATGCACCGTAATAATACAGTAATTTAAAATCCTGAACAAAGACATGGAAGGCCAAGTTTGATGTCTACCCTCAGTCATGGACATTCAGAGGGTGATTTTGGCCAAGCACTCTCATCCCAATCTAACTCACAGGATTGTTATAGAGTAGTGATGGCGAACCTTTTTGTGGTGGTGTGCCAAAAGCGCGTGCATGCCGGCACCCACAATGCAATGCGCCCCTCCTGCACATGCAACTCCCCCCACCCCATTACCTGCACTGCACATGCGCGTGCCTCCCAGCTGATTTTTGGCCCATTTGAGGCCTTTTGCGGCCCTCCAGAGGCTCAAGGGAAGCCTCTGTAGCCTCGGGAGGCCGAAAAACATACCTTCTGGAAATACCGGAAGTCCTGTTTTCAGCCTCCGGAGGGCTTCTGGAGCCCGGGGGAGGCCGTTTTTGCCCTCCCGGGGGCTTGAGGGAAGCCTCTGCAGCCTTTTGAAGGCCAAAAAATGGGCACATTTCGTTGCTTCCAATTTCTTCACTTCTGGTATTTCTGGAAGGCTCGTTTTTCAGCCTCCTCAGGCTGCAGAAGCTTCCCTGAAGCCTCTGGGAGGCCGAAAAGGGCCTCAAATGGGTCGAAAATCAGCTGGGAGGCACACACATGTGCAGTGCAGATAAGTTTGGCTGAGGCTCGCGTGCCCGCACAAATGGCTCTGCGTGCCACCTGTGGCACATGTGCCATAGGTTTGCCATCACAGTTATAGGGAAAATCCGAGAAGGCAGAGTGATATGGATGCTTGCTAGAGAAAATGTGCAATGTACATCAAATATTCAACTTAAAAAACAATTAATCAGGAATGAAATGGGTACTAATGTCCCAGTGAATACTTGGACTTCAAAACTTCTTGGTGGATTCTGCTTCAAAGACGCTTTCATTTCTCACTCATCTCCATGCTTTGCTTTACAGCCATTCCTGAATGTACTTTCATGTGAACATTTTGTACTTGTAAAGGAGATGATGGTCAAAACTGGAGGATACCGATTCTAATTTCAAAGGGACTAAGGCCAAGTTTCAAAATAAACTTGTCATTTTGATGGATAATTATTGCCAAGAAAGGGACAAAGAATGTGCAACTCTCAATTCATCTCTCTGAAAAATTTCATGCTAACAATCATGATACATTTCATGCTAACAATCATAGTACAAGAGCCACCGTGGTGCAGTGGTTAGAGTGCAGTACTGCAGGCTACTTCTGCTGTTGGCTACCTGCAATTTGGCAGTTCAAATCTCACCAGGCTAAAGGTTGACTCAGCCTTCCATCCTTCCAAGGTTGGTAAAATGAGGGCCCAAATTGTTGGGGGCAATATGCTGACTCTGTAAACCGCTTAGAGAGGGCTGTAAGTGGTATATAAATCTAAGTGCTATTGCTATTGCTACATTTCAGTATTAGCTCCATGAAACATGGGTTAAAATGACTCTATTCCTCTAAGTTGGAGTGACTGTTGAGAATTACATCAAGAAACCAAGTCTTATTTATTTATATATTCTATACACTATTCCTTTTCTGGAGGCTCTGAGAACTTACAATTATAGGTTATAACCAATTCCAAAAGCTAATTGGAAACCACTGCACTCAATAGTAGTGGTGCTATATGAACAAACTTTGACTACCCATAATTACCTAGACTGATGCCTGGTGCACCAGCTGAAGCTTCTGATTTTCAATTTAGAACATGTTGTAATCATACAGCTGTAAGGTGACAAAGACATTGAGAGGCTGAGCTTTGGTCTTTTGGCAATTATGCTGCAGGATTCTACAAGGGGCTATTTTCTCCCTCATCTATATGGTACCTATTTGTTACAATAGAGCCAGATGTGGTTGTGCACAGTTGAGACTTGTATCCTGATACAGTGGTGGGCTGCATGATGGCAGACATAGTAAAGATTAATCCTTCTAAGACTGAAGTCTTGTGGGCAGGTGAGTCATACCTGATCTGGAGAAGAAAGTGTATTGGTGCAGAGATTAGAAAATCTCTTGAGGCAAACTTTGGACTAGCATGGCAGCTACCATTTGTTTTGAATAGAGATAGTCTTGCCTTAGTACCCCATATATTCATAATGTCAAGATTAGATTGCTGTAAAAGAAATAATGGTGGATCCCTTTAATAATTATCCAGAAATTGCAGCCAACAAAAACATTATGGTTAAGTTACTTAGCACACTCTTAAGCACTGTCCGAACTTATCCATTACTGTTGCTATCATCAATCCAAGAGGAGTTCACTCCATTTTGAAGCTTTCTGATGAGACTTTGATCATATTTCTTAAATTATATTTCTTGATTATCTTCACAGGGCCATTTAAGATTTTGAGTTCTTTCCATCTATTCTGCAAGGAGCAAAAGAGAAATGGGGAAAAGGGAGCATATTGGAAAGACTTACTGGTGAAAACATCTGTGATGTTGCCATAATCAACAGAATTCACCATTACTTTTGCAAAAGTTGGAATCTACAACCAAGCCAGTTCAAAGAATTTTAATATCCATCTGTTTACAATAAATTGTAAAATAAAAGAATATATGAAGTACATACAGTATATTTACATACCTATATTTATTTCAAATACTTAAATTTTTTAAGTAAAATATTTTTCTATATCATTTGTGAAAAAATATGACTTTTTAAATGACTTCTCATTTAACCTGACTTCTCTGTATTCTCAATTCCAATTTAAGTTTCTTTTTAAAAGGCAACAATTAAAGTTCAGTACACTCTAAGGTATCTTTACTCACTTCTTGGCTTATAAAAATGAAACAGTTCCTGGGACACCTTTTTTTTAACAGTTCTTCAATTTTTATTGCAACCTGGGGTGCTTACCAGGTCCCCTAATGGGGGGAAAACACGTTCAAAATTGCACACATACACATACATACACCAATTTCACAAATCTTTTATCATTCTTGAAATAGAGGTATTAAAATATATATTAATTAAAATATATTACTTATAAGCTCTTAAAATTCTTTTCAATCATATCAAATGTATTGCATGGGGGGGGGGGGGGAGAAAGAAGGAAAAAATATTATCCCTGCCAAAATCTCTTAATTTACCTAAATGGCTGTGTGTGGTTTCAATCCTGCAGGATACAATGTGGAAGTCAGAGAAGTGTCTTTCAGTCATTCTAACAGAAAGACATAGTGCCTTTTACCTTGGAAAATAATCTACGTCTCTCTCACACAAACACACAGAGAAACACCCACACATCACTTTTAGCTTAAACACCAGTTTCTAAAAATGAACCTTGACAGAGATGAAGGGACTTCATGGCCACGTCTCCTGCAACTCATGCGTGCTGCCAATCTTACCCCTCCCTGGTACCATGCCTCAAAGGTGGGATTAGCACGGGCTGTGAAATTTGAGTACCAGATAATTTGCACAGTAATGGAGCCTGCCTTCACTGCAGAAAATACTGTCCTACCACATTGGTGAAAAAGCACTGAAAACAGTATAGTTAAGACAGACTAAATGCTTCAGTTTCATTCTTTATATTCTTACAAAAGATTTCAGCTCCACCAGGTTCAAAATAAATGCACATCATTGGCCTGTTAAAAGTAATACTGCAAGCAAGCAAAATGGCCTACTGATGGAATATGAAAAATGGTCCTGTGGTTTGTACCCAAAAATACAACTGACAGAAAATGCAAACTGCCTGGGCATTTTTAATGGCTTCTAAAAGCTGCAATACCTGATATCAGAAGATAAGATGAATAATGTATGTTGTGTTACACAGGCACATGGGCCTTCCTTTCTGAAATGAAGCTGTACACCTCAATGTTTGGCAGGGTATTATTTTGGGGTGACTACGTGTTGAGTGACAGCTGATTCACTCCCACAATTCCAGCATGAGTAAACATCATTAACTCATCTTAATTCAATTTTTTTAAAATGATGTCTCTATGTCCTAGGATTTATAATCTGAGGATGAGATAAAAAAACCAGTAACATAGTCAACAGCCACCTGTAGTGCAATTTAATGGGCCAGCTAGAGCATGGCCCGCTAAGCTTATAATCACCCACTCAGAAATCTCACCTCAACTTCTTTCAAAATCAAGGATGTTCCCACCTTCTATTTTAACCTTGCGTGTATTAGTGGGGTTTACAACTGAGTTCCATCCTTTCAGCTGTTAGAAGTGTTGTTCATATTCCTTGCACTTCACCCAAGTACCCTTTCAAAAAAGCACACTTCAGTGCAAATTTGTTTTGCACGAGCTTTCTGTTGAAACAAAATGCTCAGTTTGGCTTTCTACTTGAATTCCACATGAGCAGTCATGTATAAATTCTTCTGTAGTTCTACTTAAGAAAATACTTACCAATATTCCAGAATCATCATCACAAATATCAGAAAGGGAAAGGGAAGGAAAAGGACTTTCACAGAAAGAAAATTTCAGATGCTGCTATAGATGTCAGATATAGCCAAGAAAATTCTACTCACTGACATTCCTGTTCAGTTTAGAAAGGATTATGCAGAACTTTTCAGATTTACCCAATCTATCATCTCCAGAAATATGACCTATTATCCCCTACCAACAAGGTCAAGGATATAAATGCCCCATTTAACTGTTGAACTCTTAGGGCTTTTGGATCTCAGGTCCCATCAGTTGCGCTCATAAGGATGCAACCAAACACACATAGTATTTCAGTTAAGAGAAATGAGTTGAGCCAAAAAAAGACTGGATTGTTTTATATCAGATAGGTAGATCCATCTTGCACTAGTAACTATATAGATGAAAAGTAAAAGTAGATGCAGCAACAGTTTCACTCTTATGTTAGCCTAAAGGGAAGGCTTTCTTCTTCAATCAGGTGAGTATTGCTTAGCTTGAGTAAGGTGGCTGAATCAGTTTAAATTTTTGTCAACATTGCTATATTCCATTGATGAAGTTCTGCTAAACTAAGGGGAAGGTTGTTATACAATCTGCTTTTCCATGCCCCTTTCTGCTAAACAATCATTCGATATATGATAAGCATATGGAATATGCTTAAAACCCTTTTATGATGCAGTTATGTGGATTTAACTATGGGAAACTGGCCAAAAATCATAGTACTCCTTCAGAACTTTGGAGCCTAGAAAAAAGCTTTTTATACAGCCTTATATGCAATTATTATGCTTAACCTTTTACAAATTTTCTATCGATCTTCTGATCAGCCCCATGTTTGTAATTTGTTATTAGTAAGAGGCTCTTAATCCAGTGGTTCAATGGGCTGTCTCAGGGACCTCCTTATCCAAAGTTCTTTTCTTTGTTCATCAGATCAAAGAGCTCCTCCTTAAGATCACAACCCATATGAAGACAGATAGGTATGGGTCAGAAGGCAGGCTCCATCCTGTTGAATGGGCTACGCTTGGAGATAGGCTTGACTTTCTCACTCTTGGTGTTTAGGGAATCTCCCAAGACCTTCCTTTTTAATTGGGCCATTGATGTACTTTCTGCCCAAGGATTGTCATTGTTATGACAGTGTACAAATAGAAAGTAGCTTTTATATCAGATTTTTTTTTGGAACACAGTTCAAAGCTTTTAGAATGGTATATAAATAATGTTAATAATTTAAAAATAAATTAACTACAATGCAGGAATCTAGGGCTGCAAGTATGAAATGTGTTTTTGCATGTTTTATGCTAAAATGTCCCTGCTGAAGGATTCTGGGGAATTCAGGCACATGAATATTACTATAATCATAATTCTGCCCCCTAAGAGAAAGAGGAAACAATTCTGAGGCACCATTGTGAAAGGGTGGGGACAAATCTGCTATTATTTATTTTAATATATGAGATAAGATTCATGGTTTGACCCCTCACTTGTGTTCTATAAAACTCAGTGGGAACCAGTAACTCCATTCTAGTTATAGAACTCTCCCTTTGATATGTTATAGTGTAAATTTGAGATGCTGCTAAGAGGACAATCACAGAAAACGAATATTCATTACTTGAAAGATAGAATGACGATGGAAATGAATAATTCAGTTGCAATGGTTTTGGCTCTAAGTCAAGGCTTCAACAGAAATTGAAGTCAGAAAGGATTGGATGCTATTGGGGTTGGAAGGCAGGGGCTATTATTCCACTGATCCATCACAATAAAACTTTAGTGACTCAGCAAATCATTATTGAACTTAGTCTCCTTAGTCGAATATGAAAAGATAGCCAAAGTAACATCATTGTATTAAAAAAAAGTCCAGAAGATAAATGTATTTGCCTAACATTTCTTCCAGTTAATTATGAAAGCTTGCACTACTACCTACAATAATAAAAAATTGCTGAGGAAGAATAAACATGGTTTCTGAGGAGAAAAGTTCAATTTACTAATATTTGGAGTGTTGAAAAGCATCAGCATCTGGTAGCAAAGATCTTCTGTACATAAAAATGAAGGGCTGAAAAAGTCAATAATCACAAGTAAGATCCCATTAGTGGATTAATATTTGGTAAAAGACAGTAAGTATAAACAAATTTGACGAATGTGAATAAAGGAACTCCCCAGAGTTTGCACTTTTTAATATGTTTTTATATAATCTGCATTTGTTTCCCCGATTAGTTATGGCTGAAGAGTAAATTGCTTGAGTTTTTAGGTAATACCAAAAAATTCAGGAGAGAAAAAATGTAGCTGTAATGAGCTAAAAAATGACCAGGGGGCATAAAGCAAAAGTAATGATTAAAAATACTTTTGTAACAGAGTTACAGAATCTGATAAGATCTAAGTGGAAAAATTATCCTAAGGTCATCCTGATAGCTTAATGAAAATGCAAAAACTGTACATCAGTTATGAAGAGAAGCTAATTTCATATTAGGAAAAGGTCTGAAATGAAGGGTAGGCCCATGATAATTTAGTGTACCCTCATCTGGATGTTTCGGATGCCAGGAAAAGATGCCAAACAGATAGTCAAAGTACCAAAAGACTACAGTTTTCCTTTTGCCACTGAAATCTTAAAAATATGGATTGTTTGCTTAGAAACAGCAGCAGCAGCTAAAGAATGAGGGGATTCTGATACCAGTTTGTACGTTTATGAATTGCATGAATAAAAGGGGTAAAAAAGTAAAATAAGCCCTAGAAATTCATGCCGTCTAACTTATTTACTTTAATACTTAATATAAAGATGAGTCTTGCGTAATTGAATTTACCTACATTTTGTTCTCTTCCTGGTTCTTATTGACTGTATATGTTACCTATGTAAAGCACAAGACACACTGATGTGTTTTTACCTATGTGTAAAAGAACAATACAGACTGATACTGCTGTATAAATACTGTAGACGTAGAACATGCAAAAAAATAAATGGCTAATTTATAGGACTGACCAATACAAAATGTGATAATGCCTTTGATACCTTCTTCAAGGTATAATACAAATTCAGGGAAGAGAATAGGCCTATCCAAGAGTTGCTGTCTTGGGGGCACATGGAACTTGAAAGACAATTGATTTCTATACTTTGTCAATAGGCTGCTGGGAAATATCTGGCAGACTGTTATTAAAAACAGAAGGCCAGATCACGACTTAAAGTCATGAGAAAAAGTGATTCCTATAGCAGTCATTGTAATGTGATATTTCTATGATGAATAATAGAAATGGGCAATGCTTGCTGAAATAGGTAATGGAGTCCTTGGCTTTCTTCCAAGCCATTCTCTCTTTTTTTATCCCACCTTTATTATTTCTGTAAATAACTCAAACCAGGGAATGTATCTAAAACTCCCTCCTCCTGTTTTCCCCACAACAACAACCCTCTGAGGTGAATTGGGCCAAGTGTGTATGACTTGCCCATGGCCACCCTGCTAGCTTTCATGTCTAAGGCGGGACTAGCATTGCTTTCCTGATTTCTAGTCTGGTGCCTTAACACATTTTTCAAAAGGTTAATGGTGAAACTGTCTCAATCCATAAACGTCAATATTGACTTTATCTAGAATGAAAGATGGAAACTGGAAATGATATAGTTCAACTTGCATGGAGCGGTGTACCGTGGCTAAACTATCTTTTCCTACTCTTTATCTAAATATTCTACATTAAGTTAACCCTTCTAAAGCTTGTTCTTCTCTTCATTTATCTCTGACTTGGTAGATTTTCCAATTACTCAACGGGTGGTACTTCAACCAAAAACCTGCACATTAACTGGGGACTGGATCCCAAATGGCCAATTACAACTCTGTAGTTATATGCTACCAAACTACAGCGGAGATCTAGAACAGAGCTGCAGACGCTCTAAGTATATCCAACTCAATGTAAATCGGCCTCACAAAAAGTAGAATATACAGCTGGAATAAATTATGCTGATTTCATCAAACCTCCATAATTTAGTCTTTTCCTAGTAGTCTTAAGAGTGAAGGAGACATTGAAATTCTGCCATGCTTTGAGAGCTATCTTGGCACAACCCTGACAAGGCAAAAGATAGCTCTGTACATTTTATAAATCAAGAGTATGGAACCTAATTACTGCCTAATCTTAAACGCTCTTAATAAGCAATTAGTTTGAGTCTCTGGCAACAGGGTAGGAGAGGGCAAAGGAACAGCTCAAAAAAAAAAAAAAGGTGTCAGAAAGAGTAGAACAAATTGTGTATGTCTCAGTTTCCATCCTAAAAAGCTTGTTCCATCCATCATTGTCATTACAATTAATTCCAAGGAAATGCCCTTCCTTCTATAAGTGAAATCCAGGTCCAGAAATTCAATTTTTTTTTAAAAAAGTGGTGATTCTGAGCAGGATCCATTCTGCTTCTAAATATAATGCTCCACATCTTTAGTGTGCAATTGAAGAATATTTACAAGGGAATAACAAGGTCCCACTATCTTTTCCAGCTTGAAATCTTCAATTATTTGAGTCAGAGCTGATTCTAGAAGCTGACAAGCTGACCCAAAGTTATGACTTGATGTTAAAAAAAATCTGAAACGTTTCTTCCACTCTATTCTACAACATTTAACTCACCAAGACATTTTTCTTCTTGAAAAATGGGAATCTAGAGCCTGGGACCAAAAAGAGTTTGTGCTGCTGTATCTTGATTGAAATTCAAAGGCTAAGCATATCATATAAGAAAATAGAAATCATCATTGCTGTCATTGGTTAATTCAGAGCTATAAACTGACCATCCCCCACCAAGCCGCATTTTGCTCTGCAAATTCTGATGATCTACAGTACACTGCCTCTGCCTCTCAAGGTGATTTTATATGGTAAAGAAGTATTATTTACTGTAAACAGCAACGCTACAAAATTCAACTGGACGATAGGCTATCTGCCCACCTTTTGTATGCTCCTGTTGCTTAGGGCTGCAGATGTAATAGTCTCAACCACTGTGTTTCAATAGGACATTTGGCAAGCCCATTCAAAGAAAAACACGGAGGCCACGATGATAGCAAGGTGGAGACAAATCTGGCCCTATGGGAAACAGGGGCACTGAAGGTGAAGAGGGACTTACTGGGTCAGAATTCTGCTACTATAGGACAAGAGGCAAAATGAGCATGAGATTCACATCCATAGATTTATCTCAAGGTCGGAAAAAATAATCTTTAAGACAAAACAATGCAACATATTTACATGATTCCTTAAGTGCACACACTTGTCCCACTGGGCTCAGCCATTCATCCAAGGTGCTTTCTTCATTCTCAAGGAAACCAAGGAGACGTGGAGTGGCATAAGGACAGGGACTCTTGACTCAGCAGCATGCCCCTCCTGCTCCCTAGATGAGATGCCATCTAGCAAACCTGCTACCGCACAACGAGACAGGAAACACAGAGTTTGGAGGGGCCAATACAGTCATCATGGCAGAAGGCCCCGCAGCCCTTGCACACAATCATGGCTTTCAAGCGACAGTAGCACTTTGTGGGCAAGTCCTCCAAGCCACCGTCTTCCGCAAAAGCCTGGCCACGGAGAGCTTGTCCATGGCTACCAGTATTTGCTGAGTGGCCAGCAGGGATAGCTGTTACAGTTACAGAGAAGGACACTACATCCCCCATGTGGCTGGGGTCTGACAGTCCAGTCAGGAGAGTATCCTGATGCATGTCTGGAGAAGTGGACACGTTAATTGTGCCACTGTAGCCTGGTCCAATAAGTTGCGTAGGAGTAGGGTTTCCAAAGAGCTGAGGAGAGGGTGAGGGTGAAAGCAGCAGGGGCCGCTGTGGGGTAACATTGGCTGGAGCACAGGTTTGAAGTTCCCCACTGCAGGATCTCCTTTCTCCTCTAATTGTCTGAGCCACTTGTTCCTGGGCAGCCTGAATAAAATCTTTTGCTGCATTGTTTTCAGCATAGTCTTGACCTGCTGGGAATAAGCAAATGTTTCCATCCTTGTGGCTTATTGCCGCCTGCTCCACTTTTACATTTGAGGTTGCCTGCCTCCCTCCTCCTCTTCCTGGAGCCAGAGGCTCCTCTTTAACTTTGAGATGTGCTGTTGCATGTTCAGTCACGTTGCCATCTCTGAACCCTTCATCTTCACCCCCGCTGATGTTACTGTCATCTCTAGATGTATGCTTCTGTTCCTCCAATTTCTTCGGGGGCTCCTCTGAGCATAGTTGGCTCTCTGGGGGCATGGCAAGGTTTCTTCTTAGGTTCTCTGGGCAGCGTCCATAGGTAGAAACATTCAGGAGGTAATGGCCAGACATGGCAGGCTTGAATGTCCTTCTCCCTATGAATCCCAGTGTGAAACTTTGGCTGGCGGAGCTGCTCTCTACTGGGAAATGTGGGGGGAGGAGGGGGAGACGTGGAGGGGGAGAAGGAGCAGCAGGGAGGCTCTGCACAGGGACTTTCCGCATGACAGTCTGGAGAATATGTCCTTGGGCACTCTTGCCTAAAGTTTCCTGGCTACTGTGGAGGTCTGTAGGCTGGCTCCACAAGTCCTGCCCTGATAAAGAGGATAAGGGTGGAGGATCTTGGGACTGTCCACAGTGACTAAGGCTTGGCTTCCCACCTGCTGGGAAAGCCATGTGCAGCTGTCCTTCCCCTTCCCTTGGAGGGCCAGACCTGGAAACAATTGTGGTCGCTTTGCCTTCCTTCACAGGCACTGCAATAGACTTAATTTCAACTCTTGTCAGAGGCCTTGGGAGCATCTGCTCCATTGGGACTTCTTTGCCTTGTAGCAGCTGAGCCACCAGGGGATTATTAGCAGGTATACTGGAGCTGGCCTTTACTGCAGAGCTACTTCCATTTGAACCTGAGGAGCCTGGGGGCACTTTAGGGCTGTGGGCTACCAACGAAGTGTTACAGGGAGGAGGAGATAAAGTGGACATGGGCACAGTGCCACGTGGAGAAGAAAGCAGAGGGGGTGCCTTGATGGATTCAGCCAACACAGGAGATACAGAAAGCAAGGCCCTGGCTTTGTCTTCTGAAACACCTGTGCTGGCGGTAGAAGCTGTTTTCGATACACTTTTGCAGTTCGCTCCAGGCTCAAAGCCACTGGATGTTCTTGTAACCTGGTGAAGAGCAAGAGGGTTATTTCTAAGTTTCTCCATCGTGGAAGCAAGATCAACTGTTGACCCCAAAGAAGCTGTGACATCCCGAGTGGCAGGCACAGTCAAAAGGCTGGGATTTGTACAGCTGACACTCCCTATTGCTGGTTGTGAAATCGTCGCACTCTCCACCTCTGGGTTGCTGCTTGCAGTTCTGGATTGTGCTGGGGGAGCCGGCTGTAGTTGTGCTCTAGCAGCACTGCTTGTTGCTGCTGGTTCTGGAGCTGGGGAGTCTGCTGGGGAGAAAGGGGCTGGGCACGAGGGGAAAACCCTTTTTGGACTTGTCCTGTTTCCAAAGTCTGCCATGTCCAATGTAGCTCCATGAGGCCTCCCTGAGAGTGGACTGCTCTTGTCCTCTCCTTTCCCCCCTCCTGGCCCTGGCCCTGGGATGGCTTCCACAATGGAGGCAGAAGTAGTAGCAATGGAGGCTGCTGCGGCTGCTTCGGCGGCAGCAGCTGCTCGCTGGGCCCTGGCCATTCTAGCCCTGGCTTTGACGTCGGCCAAAGTCCTGGCCCCTGTTCTCCTGATGATTGGGAAGGGGGGCCTGGGAGAGACCTGGCTAGCAGACAGTAATGCTGGAGATCCTTGGATTCTGGAGACGTGGATCTGGAAAAGAGGAAAGCGCATCAATAAACTGGAAGGCAAAGCACCTCTTACTCATGTTTCTTACCTTGGAACAAAGCAAGAGACACAAGGCAAAACGGGTCTGATGAGTTCCAAGGAAAACACTCACCGTTTTGTTGGCAGACAGATCAAATCGAATACACTGAATTCTCTTATGCCCACCTATTCTTTCAAGAGGCTGCTAAACTGAATAGTAAGTACCTCCTTCTGAAAAAAAGGAGGTGCAGTAGCAAAAATTTAAGACTACTAATTCATCAACCTTAGTGCTGGTAACTTCCCATTATTTATTTTGTTTGCTCATTCACTCACTCACTCACTAATTAATTAATTAATTCTTGGTGTATGAAAGAAATTACACAGGTAATCCCTGAAGTAAACTAAGCCACTCAAAATGGCTTGGCTTAAGAACAAGATCTAGACTCCTTCCTCTTCAACCACAGGACCCCTCTTAAAGTGAGATTATCTGTGGTGAAAGTTAGGATGTCATTCAAACACTCTTGGGCTGAATCTCCCTGATCAGAATTGCTCAAACTGAGCTCAACTCACTCTCATTTGCTTATAGACATTCAGCCAGCCAGAAAACTGCAGTGACAGGTGTTCTTTCGCTTTCAAAATAGAAATGTAGAACAATGCAGAAATTGGATAAAGGACTTTATCAGCCTACAGAAGTCATAACAGAATGAACTTAACACGTATGGTTCCTTTACCCTGAGTGGAGGGACTTTTGGTGTAGGCGCGATGGGAAAGCACTGCAGTGGGGCCTGAAAAGGCGGCCTGGTGGGGCACTTTTCTGTCACGTGGAGCTGTTTTTCAGGTGTCATCAGTGCCTCTTCAGGGATCTCTGATTTTCTCTTGAAAGCCCGGCTTCCAGTGTCCATTTGTTCTGTGCAAGTGGCAGGAACCTCCCTTGCAGAAATCTCCTGAGATTCTATTTCTGGGCTTGGTTTAGTGCCAGCAATGGCTGCATTCTTTGGTTTGCTTGGATTTTGTCTCACCACAGACTCCAGGCAAGCAGTCTGTGGTGTCACCTCTTCTGGCTCCTCAACTCTCTTGGAAATCTTCTGAGGAATCTGGCTGCTACTCTGGATGGAGGCAATGTTGCCAGAAGAATTTAAAAGCTCTTCTGGCTTAAGGACCTTGGGCTGCTCAATCTCCTCTCCTTTAGCGGCTGCTGTTATAGCTGGGAGAACTTGTACTTTTGGACCCATCAGAGAACTGGTCTGTTCTTTGTCAGATACTGCTTTATGGACTACTATGCATTTCTGTAACTGAGGTGCTAGATTCCCAGTCTGAGCTTGATTCTGAACAGTAGGAATACAAGATATCAGTTGTTTAGAGTCTTCAAGGCTAAGCCCAGAACTAGAAGACAGAAAGAGAAAGCAGAGACATTGGTAAGATAAAGGACAATTGTTCCCCTCTCAACAAGCAGAGAATGTCATTCAATAAGTAAATCTTTTGAAAGTGCCAACTTTTCACAGAGAAACAAGAAGTATTCAAATCTTGAAGCCTGTCAGAATAGGAATAGGTTGGTTCTTGTTATATATGTACCTTGGTCAAATAAATACCTAGTAGGTACATTTACACAACACACTAAGATGTTAATCTTGGCTAGTGGCAGGATGAGCTCCAATCCTGGGATCCATATACCTTATAAAAACCAATACAGCAGAGATCTGCACTGCACTAGCCAACAGACCATTCTGTGAGCAGAGAAGATCCACTTTTAGTATAATCTCAGCTGTGGACATTCTGCTCAAGAGACTGCTTTTTCAACCCTCAACTGAAATATTAGGCACCTTTCCAAACTTATTTAAAGTATTTCTGGAATCAAATATTTAAAATGCTTCGACTATTTGGATAATTCATTTCTGAATGGTGCAATAAAGCATCCCTCCAAAGCAGTCTTCGGTGCAGCTGTACACTTCAGAGTCCAGGCCCACATACCATCAGCTCAAAAGTCTCAGAAAGAAAAGAAAACGGCATGTTGAGCAGGGAAGGCAGGTTAAATCCTTACCTCTGGCCATAATAGCTCTCAAAGAAGTGCTCTTTCCAAAGTTCCACTTTCTTCTCCTTTTCTAGTTCCTGCCGTAGCCTTAGCTGCATCTCTGGAGTGAACTCCCCTGCCACACACACACAGAGTGGAAGGAACGAAGTTAGCAAGATACAGAAATGTCTGCCTTTTCTTTGCTGCCCTGACTTTCCTGAACATGTCAAACATCTTTTCAAAAGTCACTAATATTCCTACCTTAGAAGTGGCAAAGGAGGTTATTTTTATTTCGTTTGTTATTTTTATTTCTGGTCTTGTGCTTCTTTGCACAAAGTAATTCTTTCAGTAAAAATCTGTTCATTCTCACCAACCCCACTGAAACATCCTCAGAAACCTCAAGACCTGCCCCTGAATGTCCTCACCTTCCGACAGTCGCTCTTTCCATCCTTGCGCAGCCGAATTAAAGAATTCGTTGTTGAGGGCAGAACTGCTGAGCTTCATCAAGCCATCCATTCCAATCTGAAAGACAAATGGGGTAGGGTGAATAAAAATATACTGCCAAGTACTCAAACTTCCTCCAGGAATTCATAAAATCAGGCAGATAAAGCGATGGGTTAATCCTAAAGGCCTAAAAGAAGGAACTCCTTCACTTTACCTTTCTAGGGTAAGAGGGTCTCTGATAGGCCACTTTTTAGCCTCTTTTGCCTTATAAATGATTTGAGAATTATTGTTTATTTGTGCAGAGACTTTGGGAACTGGGGAAAAAAATGGGTGGAACAACATAGAACAACAGTGCTTTTGCATATTGCATACATATAAGAAAATATACAGAAGAAAATATACACATATTGGCAGGCTTCTCAAAGTGGCCTTGCGCTTCTTTGCACTAAATGCCACAATCGAACCACAGTAAAAGTATTGACGGTTAAGACTTTTATTCTCATTAAAAATGCCAATATCAGAGCACCAGGTGCCTAAAAAAAGACAGCTTCCTTTTACAGAGCTCCAAACTACCACAGGGAGCCAATAGAGAGTCCATTCTTGCTGATACATCAACAATAAGGGATGATTTTAATTTTGAGCCAAGGAAACAGAAAACAAGGTGAGTTTCACAAACTGAACACCCATTTGCTAACACAGAAGACCAATTTATTGAGTATTGGGAACCTTGGGCCTATACTGTTATACAGCCTAAGTTCTGCACAATAGCCCTGTTATATAAAACGATGGGGAAAAGTTGTCCCCTGACCTGTTTCCTCCCTTCCCTCCATGGACACACACCTGCCTGTCCACCTCTGGAAGGAGCAGGAGCAGCTTCTGCTGACATTCAACTGGTAGTCCCGTGAATGTATGCTTGTTGATTAGAGCTCGCAGATTGGTGTTCACCAAGATGGATTCTGGGGTTTCTACATCAATTTCAGCACATTTTGTTCTCTTCAGCTGCCCTAAGAAAAAAAGAAACCAAAGATCATTACTAGGAAGAAGAGGTCTACCCATTTTATTTCTGCTTCTCACAAGGAATGGGAAAGTCCCTTTCCAAGGACTGATACTTGAGTCTGGAAATCCACTCCATTTGACAAATCTTTTTAAATAGGTCAATGTTACAGGACAGCTTTCTTTCTACTACACAGAAAGAATGTTAAAGGAAATAAGATGGAAGGCACCTCTCAAAGTCCACAACTAAGTCAGTGAAATCTCAAGGGATGCCAGAACTCTAGCTTATTGAAGTGCTACTTATGTGTAACTTCTAAAAACTGCTTCTGTTCAACGCATTTCAGATATACTACATCGTAATCCTTCACCAGAGATGAGAAAAGGTATCAGGAATATGACTACAAAATATTTGAGCTTGGAATACTTTCTGCGAGGCTGGAAAATCTCATCCTGACAACAAAATAGAAAAAGGAGGACTTCAAACACAAAGCATTTCAATTTTCCAACATTCTGTACACCAATCCTAAAGGTGCTTTTCCAAAAGGCAGATGGACTTTCTTGGGTTTTTTTCCCTGAAGACATTTTGCTTCTCATCCAAGAAGCTTCTTCAGTTCTTGGATGAGAAGCAAAATGTCTTCAGGGAAAAAGCCAAGAAAGTCTAATTGCCTTTTGGAAAAGCACTTTTGGGACAATCATGACCTGGATGATTGAGAATCTCCATAGACATTCTGTCCACCTCTAATGAGAATTATATAATTTTTATTAGGATATTATAATTAATATTTCTATCTGAAGCAGCATCTGGCCATTTGCAACAAACAAATCAGAGCAAGGGCATAGTTCTTCTTTGTTACAAATGCTCAGACGCTGCTTCAGTAATAGTATTCATAGTAAAATGTATTCTTTGTGCCCTTACAATGGCTAAAAGACTGACATTGCAGCATCAGAAAGATAAAAGTATGGCTCCATTTATTCAATAGATTGAAGATCTAATAGTACTTGCCACCTATGACTGAATTGCCTATATAGATATATTATTACAAATGATATGTATAGAATATTACAAATATATGCATAGTATATTATAAATATTCTATGCGTAGAATAGCCCAACGCATACATTCCATTAGAGAGAAGTTCCCTCAGAAGACTAAACCTCTGGTCCCAGTGACTGACCCAGATTAGATCCTACAAGATTTTTCTGGGACTGCTTTCACTTGTAATATACTGAAATTTCAATTATTTTACTCTCTTACTGTTATTGGTAAATTTTAATATTTTATTTTACTATTCCATTTGTACTTAGGTGCCTTGAATACTTCTTACTAGAAAGAAAGCTGACATATAAGCTAAATATGCCTTAGTCTAATCCAACCATTAAATACTTCATATATGACACATTTTTAAAAAGTAGTGACTGCTTCTAGCTTCATCAGAATATACAGTAAAATTAACTGGTTTTAGATAAGCTACACAGCAATGTTATCTCAAACAGAGACCCACGTGAGGTAAACCCAATGAAGTAAAAACTCTGGTTATTCATTTAGCTCTTCTAGCAGGAAACAGAAAACTAAAAAAAACACCCACATATACAGACAGAAAGGTCTTTTTTCTAAACTTATCCAATCCATTTTTGTTTTTTTCTTGAATAACCGAAGCATTAAAATTTAAAAATGAATTATGAAATACATTTTCAAATGTTTTTTATTTATTTTATTTTATTATTTTATTCAAAATAACAATAAATAAAATATTTGTAAGTTTCTGATCCTGATAAAGTATCAGGCAGGGTTTTTATTTTTATTTTTTTTAAAGAAAGCTGTTGTCTTACGTGCATGGAGCCTCTCAGATCTCTGGAATGGTTTCTTCCCAAGGATTGGCAAGGAAGGCTCAGTTTTAACAGAGGGAGAAGAACTAGAAGTAGAATTCTGTGGGCTACTTGAATGTCCATCTGATTGTTTTCCTTCCCAAGCTGCAAGGAAAAGAATAATTAAACTTAATTGTTTTAATCGAATGAAATACCATCTAGTTTTAGTTGTTCAGCAGCTGATTTAATATTTTCTTTCAAATTTTTGGAAACCTTAGATTTCTACTGGTTATCTATATGGAATATGTATTGTAGCAATATGCAAAGGCACAACAAATAAAAAGGATAGATAACAAATTATTTGTGGTTTCTGAGTGCATGTGCTATTAGTAGTAATGATTGAATTGGAAGTTGCCATAAAGTAAGTATCTGCTTGATAAGAGTCTATCAATCTTAGAAGTTGTTCTATAAGTCTTAGAAGTATTCTTAGAGTATCAGTCTTAGAAGTATTCTGCACTGGATTCTATACACAGCATATAGTTAAACAAGAGAATTTACAGTGTGCTGCTGGTGCCTATAAAGATATTAATTTTAAAAATATAATATTATCAATATTAAAATGTAATATGATAAATTAGCAATATATATTAGCCATTGTGGAAACTTAATATTGAACTAGATGGCCTAGAAGAAGAAAGGAAGGAGAGTTTCATTCAAAAAGAATTAACCACTGCCTTATTTCTCAAGTCTTCTGGTTACAGTAGGCTAATTAAATATTAGCCAATCTTGGACCTCTTGTCATCAAAGGTCAAGGGCAGGGGTGGGTTTCTACCGGTTCTGTCCATCTCTGTAGAACCGGTAGCTCTGAAGAGCAGCAGACATAGAACCGGTTCTATGTCTGCTGATGTTTTTGCCCACCTGCCCACCTGGGCTCTTACCTGATCTTTATTTCCTGATTTTTCAACTTCAGCTGCCAAACGAGGCACAGCTACAGTTAAAAAGGCAGGAAAAGAGGGCTGTTTCAAAGGCTGCTTCTCTGCACCCAGCATGCTGATGACGATTTACAGGCGTGCGGCCCCCAGCGTGCAGGGAAGCTCGTAAATCCCAAACCGGTAGTTAACCCTGTTGTATCCCACCCCTGGTCAAGGGTGATGAGCTGAGGAAAATAATGAGCAATACCGGATTTTGCAGGATGGTTTGGAATCTTCATATGCTGCTGTAGGAGGTGGTGATTAGTTGACACAGGCACACTGGTTCGACAATGATGCTGCTTCCTTTGCTTTTGCTTCAAGGCCTAATAAGAAAGTGAAAGCAATTCATTATACAGGAGTTTCTCAAGCTGAAAAGTCTATACAGTAGTGCAGAATTCCTTGTTCAGGAAAGCCTGCAGAGATGTAGAAATGGGTGGCTAGTAGGGCTACTGTTCTATTACCAATTATTACATATTGCACTTTACTGAAGATGGATATTCTGTCTCCTACTGATTTATTTTTATATAACAAATGAGACAGAAGACTGCAAAATAATTTTGACATAAATTTCCTGTTATCAGATTTGCAGACAACAGATTTTATCTTGCTATCAAAGACATTAATGTTTATGTTAAATATTTAGAAGTGGGAAAATTTTCCTCCTTTGATACTTGGCAAAATATTTTATCTTACAGTGTTGCAATCTGATAATCTGATTTCATTAATGATTAATGAGCACTCTTAAAATAATTTCCCAGTATCCAGATAATACCCAAGGCATTACCATAATTACAAAGACCTTTCTCAAAACATAGATATCTTCTAGAAAGTATGAACAAATCTGACCCATATAGACATAGAGCAATTGCTCAAGGGGAATGTAAGGAAATAATATAAGTTACATTATATTATATAGGCCTTGCAATAAATACAATTCATAATTATAATGAAAACTCTCCGTGTTGAGAATGCTCCATCACTAGAGGTTTTGAAGAAGAGATTGGGCAGCCATTTGTCTGAAATTGTATAGAGTCTACTCCAAGGTTCCTTCCAACTCTGTTGCCCTGTATTCTATTCTGAAGTTAGAGATACAGAAAGAAAACATAGCCTAGTATTGAAAAGAAAAGAAAAGAAAAGAAAAGAAAAGAAAAGAAAAGAAAAGAAAAGAAAAGAATATTGTATTGTATTGACAGAATGAGATACCCTCCTAAAAGAAAAATGACTGTTTCAATATTTCTGCAAAAAACCAAGTAAAGGAAGGGAAAGGACGTCTAGGAGAAATCACAGTCAAAAGAGAAAATATCCTCTAGAGAAAAATCCAAGCAAATTTCAAAGGCTAAGAAAAACATTCAGCAAATTATATTGGAAATGTGATTATCTTAAGAACTAATCACTGTGAAAGAAATAAGAGAATGGGGAAAAAAACAGACCAATATGAAGAAAATGCTAGGGCATTTTGGGCCAGAACAAACAGAGCCGCCAGAGGACTATCACCTGATGCATGAGACAAAAAGTAAACAGGGCAACTGAAATTAAGCAATAAATAAACCAAGGACAATTATAATTTATTTTTATTTTGGAAAAACATGAGAGCCAAGGATAAAGCAATAATTATTACTTTACAGCTGTTTTGCAACTGAATGAATTAGCTAACTCAATTAGTTAACTCAATAGGCTCAAGCTAACTGGCCAATAGCTAAAGCCTACTGAGTTTTTTTCAGCCAGATACAAAGATAGTAATGCAAAGAAATCTAGCATCCTAGTGGTTGTCGTTTCCACAGAAAAGTGATTTAAAGTTTTATGGAAAAAATCCTAAGAAAAATTGCCCATTCTTCCATGGGTACAGTTTGAATAGAAGCTTTATTTTATTACATATATTCTACTTAACTTTTATCCTTGTATCCATGTGCTCAATTATGCAGAATTTTTAGCAGAATGTAAATTAGAGCAAGGTGCAGAGCAAATTTAACATAAAGTTAGGTTAGGTTTTTAGTGCCAAGTAACGTGCAGATAAGCACAAATTAAAGGTCAGATAAACAAATCAGTATGCTCTCCCACTTACTTGTTTAAGTGCCTTTTTGCTGTGCTTCTGAGATGAGGAGATGATTTTACCTGGTGGAATAGAAGGAGATGGGCAGCCTGGCTGTGGAGAGGACACTTGTGAAAGTCTGGCTGATACTGAAGAAGCAAGAACAGAAGGTGACAAGATGATAAACAAGCATACCACAAATAAAAGCATGGAAAAACAGGTACCTGGAAATTGTAAACATGGAAAAACAGATACCTGGAAATTGTAAACATAGAAACAGATACCTGGAAATTGTAAACATGTTAAAACAGATACCTGGAAATATAATGCAGGATTCTGGAGTTCTGGAATAAACTCTGAGTATTCAAAAAATAATATACCATACTTCTCAACTGCTCCAAATATATATATATATATATATCATTCATTCAAGGACCCCGAGGAGATCCTTTCTGTTATTGGCCAGAATTAAAGGGTATCATTTAATGGAAAATGTCACAGGACCAATTTCATCAAGAATGGCAACGGGTGCTCAAGGGCTGAACAGTTTGAGGAAGAGGGATAACAGGGGCAGGGCCATGCCCAGTACACTTACCGAATGGAAACATTTGTGCTTTTCACTGGGTTTGTCTTTTAAACTTATCTTAATCTTATTTTATGAAATACCGTATTTTTCGCTCCCATAAGACACACTTTTTTTCCTCCCAAAAATGGGTGGAAATGTCTGTGCGTCTTATGGAGCGAATATGGACAACAGGCAGCAGTGGTGAATGGCAGCAGCAATCACTGCCTGGAACAGCTGATCAGTGGTATTCCAGCTGATCAGCTGCTGGGAAGAGAAGGCTCCAGCATTCCTTGCAGTTTGCTGCAAGGACACTAGCCAGATGAATACCGCATGGACGCTGGGAGACAAAGGCAGATTTTTTTTTCTTGTTTTCTTCCTCTAAACCTAGGTGCATCTTATGGTCAGGAATGCCTTACGGAGCGAAAAATATGGTATATTTAGGCAAAAGTGGACAATATTTGAAGGACTGGGAACCACAATATGGTTTCCCGATGCTCTGCAGATTCACTAAAATTTATCTCATAAATGTCAAAATTTTGGAGGGTGTTTATTAGAGGTTTTAGGACAGAAAAAGCAGCATCCCGGAGTCAAACCACTTCCGTCCCCGCCCTTCAAATCTCCCCAACCTCATCCCTAAAGTCTGACTGCTGTAATTTGATCTCAGGGTGCCTCAAAGAATTGAATCTGCCCATTCAGTGTTCAAGAAAATTTCTGTGGCAGGTCCCTTGAAAGTTACATGGGACATCGTGGACCAGAAACAGGTCTATTCAATAGCAGTCTCCTTTCTTTGAAACACTCTCCCCTTAGAGGTATGGATGACCCCTACCATAAAGCGGTGATGATTCATCAGACTGGTCCTCAAAGCCATTTCAGTCATTGGATCACCTATGAGATTTTTCCCCAAGGGTTTAGGGTTTTTAACAACGTAAATGCTGTACACTTCTTTTTTTCCTTTATGTGTATGCTTTTTTTGTATACAGCCTAGAGTTCTGAAAGCTATAAATATCATTCATAATTAAATAAACTAACTGAGGCCATAAAGAAGTACATATTTTCTCTATGACAAATAATTGGCCTATTATTGTAAAGCAGTCCAATGAACTAAGAGCAAGAAGAAACTAGAAATTATTTGAGAATAAGATGTTATATGGTCCATGGTTTTAAATCATTTTATATATAATTTTCATAATTCTTCTAAGAGGTTCAGTAGAATCATAGTCCTCTATCACCCATAAGACTATAAGAAGGCAGAACTAATGTTCTGAAATTGTCTGTTAGTTACTGGAATTTGGACAGTAGACTAACCAATCACAGAGCCACTTGGCTTTAATTCTTCCCCATTTCACTGAATTAGTTATCATAAAGGTTTCTATGCTACTGCAATCTGTCGACTGACTGCTTAAAAAACCTCAGTATTTTAAGTAAAGTTATTACAAGTATACCACATAGCACGTGCACAGATACACACACACACACGCACACACCACCACCAAAACAAAGAACCCCAATAATTTCAATCATACACTAATTCCTTGATCATTTCTTTGGGAGAACATTCAAGTCTTCCTTTCCTTCTCCACAGGCTCCTTTAAATAGCAAGATCTTTAGAATAATAATAAAGTAATTATCCATGATAATAATAGATGAATTCAGCTCTAGGGGTAAGCTGCTCCAAAGAAGAGGAGGCATTATCAAGAAGATCCACCCCCATCTCCATTGGATGGGCAAATTCCACATGGAAAACATAGTTATCAGATATCAAAGATAACCTTGGCTTGTACTCTGGAAGTCACCTGGCAACAAGTCCAGCTCCCATCACTTCTGTTCCAAATACATAGTTAGGATAAACAACCACTCCTAATTTTTCAATATTTGCGTATCAGAGACAACCGTAATATTCATTGAGTACTGGAAGTGTTCATGTAGTTAACTGAAAAACTCATTGATGGACATTAGGTCTATGTAAAGCTTTAGATCTTCTTGTATCACTGATACAACAGGGATAAAAGCAAAAGGATGCAGACACTTAAAGAAGCAATTTCTGATAGACAGTAAGTGTCATCTAATGCTAAGGAAACTATTTGATTGGTGATGTCACCCAATAGGGTAATGAAACATCTGCAAGCAAACAACCAAACTCAGACAGCTCCAAGGACTTTGCTGTTGACCTTCCGAACTGGTACCTGAAGGAGGACTAACAAATGGAGACTCAATCAAATAAAACAATCTCCTAGAGAAGAACAGTTGTAGAATAGGTAAAACGGTTATTAGTTCTTGCCTACTGAATCATTACATCAATGTTGTATGTTTGTAAAAGCACAACCTATACATCCTAATAAAACAAATGATTGTTGGTGTAAAAACACTCAGTGTTTTTCTTAAAAGGCAATAGGGGCCTCCTTTCTTTTATTTCAGAGATCAGTACCATTCTATTGAAAGCAATAAATGCACTGTGTCCATAGATGTTTGTTATTTCAACCAGATGACTGACCTCCACAAACCTGGACTATCTTTCCAAAGTATTTTTTTTTCTATAGCGCTCTCACCTATAAGCATTTTAGAAATGGATGAAAATCAACACTGAAAGTTTCCATATTGTCCCTTGCTCTTAAACAAAGAACGCTCTAGGAACTGGTCTGAAACACAGATATAAATCTCAGAGTACAGTATAGTCCAGACTCATCATTTGGCTACCAATTTCAAATGCATTGCAATTGATTGTATTCCAGTTTCCATAACATCTATTCAACAATTAACTGTTCATATTTTCCGGTTTGGATTACACTATTCTTCCAACCTTCCAGCTGCATATGGATACATGATTAGAAACAATCCCTTTGTGAACAGTCCAAAGACTTTCCATGATCCAGGATCTTCAGGCTGCAAAGCAGGCTCTGAAGGGCTTGACTGCCTAGATCCAGAGTTGTAGCACCATTTAAACAAATAACAATCATGGCAAATAAAAAGCACTTCTACTAGATTTCTGAAATTTGGAAAACTCTAATTGATCAACTGTAGACTGACCACAGCCCATATCAGTAATCGACTCAGAAAAATAATCCACATTTGCATTCTCTCTCTTGTCTAATGTTCAGTTAGCATGAAGTTGTACAGAGAGTTGCCAGCTCTAATAAAGGCAGCTCTTTAATTAAACAATCATAGGGTTGGTCTGGAATCATAAAGAACCTCCTGTTCCTTTCAATATGAATAACATTCACTGCAATATATTGTGGGGAAAATTATCTAAGTTCACTTCAAGATAAGGAAATGTAGTCTTACCTTGCAAAGGAATCTCATTTGTGGACATGGTTACAGCACCCAGAAAAAACTTAAAATCTGGATTTGTATCTGCTTTGGGGTCTTGAAGGAATACAAAAAAAAAAAAGAAATTGCAACCTTAGCTATTAAACCTCCTGTGCCCCACGATTGGATAGGCCTAAAAATATGGGGCTTGCCTATGTTGTATCAATTTTTGCCTTTGCTGTTTCAGTAATCTTTATTTTTGTACATATAAGGAAGTAGATTGCTGATATGATCTGAAAGGACTTCCTGTTTTGTACATATATACATAACGATGATGCTGCATTAAGCTAAACTGCAAAGCTCAACAAAGCCAGTCCTCTATCCTCGAAAGATACAAAATTTAAAATGTTCCACTTCTTCCCAATCAAAAATTAAAGTATTTGAAAGAGAGTCCAAGTCTGTCAGACCTTGGCCTTTTAGGTTTGCTTCTTAAGCTCTGCTCAAGCACTTGCAATTATGCAAGATTTTAACCAACCACAGACATCCATGCATTTAAGAACTGTATTATACCTTAAAAGAACAAAAAGGAGATGTAATAGTTGTAATAGTTCCAAAGGAGCAAAATAACTTTCAAGATTATTTTTGTAACAACTCAAGCAAATGAAATCAGTATTTTTCTTTTGAGTTTTTGAATGGAATAAAAGGACAAGTGCAGCAATTATTTTTGCCGATCTCTGTATTTTATACTATGGGAAACCAATTTTACTATAGTTTTTGAATTATCAAACCAATATTTGAGAAGTCTCAGTGAGTTATACTGGTTTTGCACCAAATGCAGATATTCAGAGGATACATTAGGAGATGTATTTTGAATTTCTTTTTCTAACAATAAGAACAACTTGTGAGTAAGGGCTACTATGAGCATAATTCTATGAAGCTCACATTACCTTATTTTTACAACTTTTAAAGGCCTTGGTCAATAATGGAAAGGGAAACAAATCTGCCTTTACTTTTTTTCTAGAATTTGTCATTTAACAGGACTTCTTGTCAACTTGCCACTGAACTGAAAGATCCAGCTGCTAAAGAAACTCAAAAGTGCAGCCAGTTTTCTTCAGGTCTTTGCAACATCATCTTATGAATATTTGCAACCAATGAAATATGCTTTTGGAAATTTAGTTTCCATTGTAACCTACCAAAACCCTAATATGTCTGTTCACAAATAGCTGCTTCTAGGAGATTTCAATTTCCCTCCCATAAGGTTATAAGAGACCACTCTGTTTTATTGCAAAAAAAGGCTATATGGATATAATCCATGAAGTCGCCAGAGGCAAATTTGAGTCA